CAGACAGAAGAGAAGTCAGCCAGCTAGCGCCGGCTATACACCAGACACTTCACTGCTCCGCAATGGCAATTCCCCGGTTGCCCATTTTTCGCTCCTCAGGTGTGACCCTGAAAGACTGACTTAAGCAAGCTTGGCTGATATATGCAGCCCTGAACCAAGAGTTACCAGCCTGGGTTCTAGTCCCATTTGCTGGTTCCCTACCTTTCTTTCTGGGACTGGGGTTCCTCTGGGGAGAAAGACATCCACCCTGTAATTTCACAAAGCTATCCTGGAGGCCATAGATGGGAAATAAACTTTGAAGGTAAAAAGAGAAGCTTTCGTGACGTTCTATGAATGGTGTTCTATGAGGGCAGGCTGTACGCCAACCAACAGTAGAAGACAGATTGACCTCATTTATCTGTGCACAACTGTACAGCTGAGCACAGTGGCTCTGGATTGGTCCCTATTCCCGACAGCTGTGAAGTGGGAGCGAATGGAAGACGATGCTGCTCTTGTGACTCTCTCTCCTATCCAATGGCTACATCGTCTCAGAGATGCTCTACAGGGCCACCACCACGATGCAACCTTTAGTCCCGACTGGTTCCTCCATGCTATTGGGTTATCAATGGCTGCTGACCCATTCAATGATACTGCTGATGGGCCCTTGGGTGGTGCAGGTGGTCCCAAAGAGACGACTCCAAGTGGCAATTGTTATGGTTCTCTGGGTACAAGACACACTTTTAAAAACAGATCACATCTGCCTGAGACTATGAATGCCACACGGCAAGAGAGAGGGCTTCCCCGTCTTGGAGACAGTGTTAGTTCGCAGGACACCTCTATTCTGACAACCTATAGGTATGCGCTTCATGGCCGTTAGAGTTCTCTAAAGGTGGGGAGCTTAGATGAGGAGAATGAATGACTGTGCTCCTGACTGTTGAGTACACAGCATCCGACAATAGGGCCTACTGCAAGCACCCCTGCAATGTCTCTGTACATGTATGTGCATATGCATGTATGTGCTGGCCTCTATCTTGGGGGCACTTGGCTATACTTGGAATAAGTGTCTCCTTGTACAGCCCCACGCTGTGTACAAGTGTGTACAAGAAAAGAAGAAAAGATCTGACTTGGAGAGATGGTTTAGAGGCTAAGTGTACTGGCTACTTTTCCAGGACACCAGGCTTCCAGTCACAGTATCCTCATGGCAGTTCATAACTATCTGTAACTCCAGTCTTAGGATGTTCAATGCCCTCTTCTGGTCTCCATGGGCACTAGGCATCCATACGATACAAAAACATGCTTCTCTATATAGTCCTACACATCCTGGAAGTCACTCTGTGGACCAGGCTGGCCTTGAACTCAGAGATCTGCCTGCCTTTGCCTCCTGAGTACTGAGACTAAAGGCGTGCCCCATCACACTCAGCTGGTAAATTTTCTTTAGAGGCGAAAACATTGCTATGGGCACTGGTACCTAAGGGAGGCTTCCTGGAGGAGGGATATTTACTCTTGCTCTTAAACAAGAAAGGTGTTAGAAAAGAACAATAAATGTAAGACAGCTAGGAACACTTATTGAGTACAGTGGGGGGAACAGAGCCAATCTGGCTGAGAAGAGAGTTGGGTGGAGGTCGGGTGTGAGCAGGGTATGGGGTCAGGCTCCCCCTGGGTACCTGGCCTTCTTCTTGTCCAGCTGCACCTCTTCTGTGCTCCCGTTGATGCCATAGAGGGTCATGAAGATATTGGAGTCAGTGCCTCCTCCGACTACATCACCAGTCCACACCGTCATTTCATAAAGCACCTGCCATGAGAGGGGCGAGTTCCTGACCCCAGCCCCACCCACCAAACCACCCAACACATCTGTGTCCCTAGGGGGAAGAGACATGTTCTCCACGCTCCACCATGAAGCTCTGAGCTGAATCTGGCACAGTTGACTGCACATGTCTGAGAAGGTGCACATGTCCACCACAGTCACACAGCTCGTGGGGCTTGGGCAGAGACATTGGATGTAATGGGAGCCCATCGTGTGTGCCCACATGAAGGCAGGACAGTGGACTCAGGAGCACCTAGAGCTCCATCTGAATCCAGGTCTGCCATCTGCTAGCTTTTTACCTGGGACAAATGGTCCAGTCCCACCCTTGCTCCCTCTGTGGAGAGATGTGGAGATACTGTTTGTAGACTCATGAGATATCCAGGTGATTCACATACAATTGCTGCTGGTGCTGGGCCTACCATGTGTGTGGCAGAGCTACAGAAGCATGAGGTATGGTACCATGTATATGATAGCCACGCAAACACATAGTATGGCACCATTTGTGTGGTATGGTGCCAAGCATATGATATGGCACTGTGTGCATGGTAAGGTCATACATGTAAAGGCAGTGGTTCTGACTGTCCCCAACTTCCTGCCATAGTTAGCTCACCCCTGATGTCTGTGAGCAAGGAATGCCATGGCAGGGAGGGGTTGAGGGGGTTGAGAGTTCTGTCCCATGCCATGTATAAAGAGGGCAATTAACTACCTGTTCATCCAGTTTCTACTTTAGATTTGTACTGTGTTTATAAAGGACCAGATTCCCTTTACCTGCAGATCTTGAAGGGAGGTCAGGGTTTCCCCTCCCTGAGTCTCTGAGTTGAGGCACTTTGGAGGCTCTTCTTAAGAAGTGGCCTTGTGTGGAGGGGTCACCTATGTATAGCATCCTAGGGTCATGGGTTTTTACTCATCCCATCTTAACAGATACCCACAGACCAGCTAGTAGCTCTGAGAGTTGGGGTGATGTCAAGAAATTACAAACCTGCCACATTGTGTCTCACCCGAGCAACTGCCCAATCCTCATGGTCTTCAGGAAGCTTTGGACCATGAACTGTGTGTGCTATGTTGTGATTGTGGTCATGCCCGGGCCACTGTTCTGGACAGGAGCGTCTGTGTTGTACCTGGATTCTTCTCCTGGGCAGGTCAGGGTTAGGAGCGGCCTATGACAGCTTGGCTCACAGCAGAGCTCAGGACATCATTGTGGAAAATGGCAGGGTAGGACTGGGAGACTTCCTGGCAACAGGCAGAAACCTGTCCCTTTCTTGATCTTATTCATACAGGCACGAAAAATAGAAAGGTCGAAGTGAGGTTGCTAGTGACCTGGAGCTTCTGAGGCCCCGCTTGCCCCTGTGTTCTCTGTGTTCCTCATTCCTTCTATTTACAGACACATGTTCTTTTACATAATTGGTGTGTTTCCAAATGAGTGATGGAAGCGGGGTTTCTGACACTCTGGTTGATATCCTGGAGAGACACCAGTCCAAAGGGCCCTGCAGTTTGTATAGTGGCTAGCCTGTGCTCTCTACTCTGTGAATACCCCGATAGAGACCTGCATTTTCCCAGATGGAGCTGGGAGGATCTGCAGCTGCACAGGGTGTGGTGTGCATCAGGAAGTGACTCAAAGACACACAGCGACTGGGAAGTGGGTCAGGACAGAAGCCCAGGATAAGCAGTAGGTTCACCCACACTATCCATTTGGCCACAGAAGGAGAAGTCTGTGCTGCAGAATGTCCTGTTCCAGACTCCCCTGCTGGGGAGGGGCAGGTGCATTCACAGTGTCTCATGGAAGATCTTGCAGTGCAGAGTACAGCCCCTTCTGCAGCTCCCATCAGAGAATAGGCAGGGCTGCTTGGCTCTGACCTTGGGAGGTGGCCTGATGGAACAGAGCTGGGCTGCTGTTGGCTCCACAACTCATGAAGGAGAGAGAGAAGCACTGGGTCAGGTGATCAGGAGGCCTCTGGATCACCAACTAGATGCTTGTCTTTGGATGAGCTGTCTTCTGCCTCCTGCCTGACACTGAACTGACTTTTGAGATTATACAATTTATCTCAGTTCATGTGACCCATTAGACATTAAGCAAAGTTCCTGCCTTCTTGGTTTTTCTAGACACAAAGGGTCTCATGTGACCATCACTGCTACACTGTGAGATTCAAAGGCCCTCATATCTGGTGTCCTTTGCCCTGTTGCTATGCTGTGGGTGTGGAGAGCATGTACATCTGGACAGAACATTGATGGTACACATATGGGCAGAGCAATGATGGTGCACATCTGGACATAGTAATTATGGTACACACCTGGGCAGAGCATTGATGGTACACATGTGGGCAGAGTAATGATGGTGCACATCTGTGCAGAGCAATGATGGTACACATCTGGACAGAGTAATGATGGTACACATCTGGGCAGAGCAATGATGGTGCACATCTGGGCAGAGCAATGATGGTGCACATCTGGGCAGAGTTGTTACCATCCAAAGTTCTTTAGGGACAGTGAGTGATCTCATTACTTTTGGCCAAGATTGAGCACAGAACACATAATGAAGGGAAGTGTCGTCTGCATGTGGTGTAAGAGAAGACTAAGGCCCAGAAAAAAAGGAGACTTCCCCAGTGTCACACAGGAATGGACCAAAAGAGAACAGTCTCCTAGTTTGAGATAAGTAAGTCCAACTATCTTTCTAGGCTAGTTTCTGTCAGTATCTCCTATTCCCCTCCCCTTCATCTTCCCTGTGTCTTCCACTTGTAGGGTGCACACATACCTTCTTCCCAATGTTCACAACCATGGCATCCAGGAGGTCAAAGACACGGGAGGTGACACCATCACCTCGGTCCTTGGCAAGCCAGCAGTTGCAGCGTAGCGTGTACTTAGTACCCTGGGTGGGCACCGCCAGACACAGTTCCTCTACCAGCCAGCAGCTCTCGGGGGAGGCTCCATCATGGCCCAGCTGTGAGGCACACCATCGCTGTGAGGATCTTGGCAGAGCTTGGAAAAGAGCCTTCCCTGCTCAGTGTCCTCTCCCTGCCTTGTGCTCTCACTCCCAGCCTTTCCTCCCAATATGCTGGACATTTGCTGGCCAGAGGACCTTCCACAGAGGAGAGGAGATCTCACAGGATTAATCAAAACCTTGGTGATTCTGACCTCATCAGGTGAGCTCTTTAAAAGAGACTGTGGGTGTTAGGGATGGAAGAAGGCAGAGACATTCAAAGCAAGAGCTTGTCTCCTATTGGCCTGATTGAAGGACATGGACAGGTTTTGGTGAGTGCCATAGGTAGGGACTGACAGGAACTGAAGGCCTCACTCCTGCAACCACAAGAGACTGGGTTTGGCCAAGTAGGCTTGGGGTGGGGGGACAGAGCCTCAAGAAAATATCACAGGCCTCATCATACTTTGCGTTCATCTCAGAAGGCCTTGAGAAGTCCCAGCCAGACTCCTGACCCAGAACAGCAGATGTACATGAGTTGTTTTCAGTTACTAATTTGATGGCAACTTGTTACACAACAATGAGAAAATGGGTACACAGGGTATCTATCTCTACTGAATGGGCAGAAATGAGAAACTTGAGGTAACTGCTCCCACTGATGGTGGAGACTGGCAATCCACCTCTAACTCGGAGAGGGTCCAGGTCATTGGTGTGTCTGTCCACAGTTCCCCACCCCTATGTGTTGAGCATTTTTTTCCTGGGAGAGTCAGCATCATTGGGACCCAGGGTGAGTACCTCTATTTTCTTGATGATGCCCACATCCAAGCCTCCAACATAGAACTCCTCCACAGAGCCACAGCTGAAGCCTCGCTTTCCCTGGGGATAGTCCAACCAGATGCGGTTGGTACGTTCATCATCTTCCCCAATGAGCAAGACAAAGGCACGGCTATCAGTGGCTGCCTCCTTGTGTTTCCCAGTGGTCACTGACACATAGTAAGGAATCACTGCAAGAGATCGTGGATGTTAACTTCACAACAGGCCAGCTGGGCAAAGGTACTGGGCTTGGGAACTTGTAATGACCTTGGGAAGGCCTTCAAGGGTCCTCCCCTTCCTTGCTTCCTCAGAGACCAAATACAAAAAAGCCTTCTAGATAGGCTGCAAGATCATGGTGGTGTGTGTCTGCTCTGCAGAGATGAGGTAGTTCATAATGCCCAGTGGAAGACCAAAGAGGGTGTCCTTGTGTCCCTTGGCATGTCAGGCTTCGATGTTGGCCAGTTTTCTTGAATTTATCACTCCCAGACAAGGAAGAATAAGGACAACTTCCCACCAGGTCTGGGGGTTCCGTGCCCAAAGCAGTAACTACTGTTGAGAAGGAAGGTCTGATAGAAAACAGAAACCGGGGACTACTAATCAAAGTGTATCGTACCTGTAACTCAGCGGGAGAAATCCTAGAGGCATCTATTTCTAAACCAAACTAGACTAGTCTGTTCAGCAAACAAGCTTGTTCAGGTCATGTAGCTTAGACTCTAGATGCTCAATAAGAATTCATTTTCCTTCCTATTAGGGGTGGTCCTGATGGGTAAGCCAGTGATTGCTGGGTGGGATTAGGAGGTAATTGTTTTAAGGATCTGACTCTCCTGGAAGGAGAGCCTCATTCACTCATTCTGCTTGAGATGTGGATGTGAGGCTTGGCACTTCAGCTCTCATCTTGGAAGGTTACCGTGGGTAGCCTTAAGGGTAGGAGCCTTTTATAAGGTTTCTAGAGGGAGCAGGTTGTAGGAAGAATGTTCCCTGGGCACTCTGGAGCTGTTGAATTCACTCTAGATGGCCTTTGAGTTTCTTATGTGCTAGAAAAAAAATGCTGAAATTGTTTAGGCCAGTGTCTCCAGGTCACTGTCATTTGCAGTTAGGAATGAATATGTCAAAAACCCTTCTTCTGGCCTGTCAACCCAGCTGACAGGAGTCACTGCCCTGCTGTCGAAGGTCTAAGTTATGCCATCTGTATCTCTCTGAAAGTGATCCAGAGCAGCCTCTCCTGGCTGGAGTCACTGGCATGGCACTCTGTGCCAGCAGCTGTTTAACTCTCTTTGCCTCCCCACAGGCGATCACAGGCCTTTGTTAAGGACAGCCACTTTGTGGGTCCTGTCATTTTTCACACGCTGAGAAGGTAACATGTAGGCAGAGTGTCAATCTCTGTGACCCCATAGGCCTATGCCATGCTGTCCTGGAGGGTGACATTGCACTGGTCACACTCTTAAATCTAAGAAGGTAGGACTTTTACATGAACATGGAACTGCCTTATCTCAAAAATATGATTGGTGAAATGGATTTCTCAAGGATACTGCTTCATGGTGGAAGCCAACATAAAGGCCATGAGACTGATTTATCCAAAGTTTAGTGTCAGAACCAGAAATGGATTGCAAGTCCCCAAATGAACAGCTTGGGATCTCTCTCCTGCACCGAGGAACATACTACATTAGACTTTGGGTGTCAGACACATGAGAGATTCCCACTGTTAGCCCTTCTTTCTGTTGGGTTGCCCCAGGTCCCCTGGTCAGAACCCATGTTCTGAGAGTTAGGGTGAGGGCAGAGTTGAGGACAATACCCTTCTGGTGGATTAAGGAGACCATCACCACAATCCAATCCATTGCTTCATCTGTAGGGGGCTTCTCTCTGCCTGCTTACTTCACAGTGGAGCTATGTAACAGCCTGTCTAAGAATAGCTTAAAGTCATTTTCCTGTGCCTGTTCATTTTCTAAAGAGCTCTCTGCTCTGCTTACCAGGGCCTTCCTGAACATAGTCAACCATGGGTCCTGTCACTGTGTCGATGTCCACGTCTGCCATCTTGGAACTCAGGGCAATCTCCCAGAAATCAGCCGGGCTGCTGCAGTTGCTACTGCGGTCTCCAGTGTACTCCTGCAAGGAAAAGCACAGCCTGGGCTCATTGCAGTGGCAGCATATTCTGATCTCCTCTGAGTATAACGATGCCTACAAGCTATGGCTGCATGGAGGTCCCAGTACACCCTGCTGGTACCTTCTCGTAGAAGAGCCTCTCCAGCCGCCCATCCTCCTTCTTCAGGGAAAGCCAGCGACCACAGAGGAATAGAAACTCGTCCTCATTGGTGTCATTCCAGATCTCTACCTTCTCCACATACCAGTCGGCACACCATTTGGTGTTGTCATGACGGAGCTTAATCTTGTAGATGACTCCCAGGTCAGCGGCCTCAATGATGAAGGTGTCAGCCTGGAGGGTCCAAATGCGAGGGCTTGGTGGGAACTCACTTTAAGCCCTTGATCCCTGTCTCCTAGATTCCTAGTTTGAATGGACATTCCCAGCTGGAGATCCCTTCTAGAACTAAATCCCAAAGATCAATGTTTAGTGCCCAAGTTCAAGACTCACTTCCTCACTGGCCTTGTTATACAGCCCACTCACGTAGGACACTACTTCATGTCCTCACTGGGTAAGACTGCCTTTGCCTGGATTTCTCTTGAAATGAGTCTGTGGGTGTTTGGAAGAAAATGTTTCATGAACTGTGTGAAATATTTGAAGTCTATGTCCAGTGCAGATGAGGAATGCTGGCTCAGGTCTGTTAGCCAGAAGCTTCAGCCACTGAATTGACTAAAGTCAAAGTGAGCACAACCTCCACTTGGCTGCCTCAGTGTCAAAGGAGGCTCTTAACACGTGGAGCAGGCCAGCTCTCACAGAAGGAAATCAGAAGCCATCTGGGGCCTTGCCCCTTTGGGGACAGCAGAGTGATTTGGGGACAACATTCTCTGTTACAGAGATAAGCCAGTCCCACCTCCATTTAAGTATCTTGGTGTAGAAATATTTCCCCTGCATCCCACTGAATGCCAAAGGTCAGATGAGAAATTTTAGATACTGCTGTGGCTTGTAGGTCAAAGGGAAAGACGATATCACAGCAGCACCATGTGGTGCTTCTGTGGCACATGAACACAAGTACAAAGAAAACACCTGGAAAGGCAAAGATGGTGTGGCTACCCTTTCAATGTGCTCAGTAGCCTGCTGGGGACATGCAGGCAGGCTGTGTAGGGTGGGTCCTGAAAGTCTGCAAATAACCATGGCAGATGCAGGTGACATCCATGGCCTGTGCGTCCCTGGGGGGATCGAGATAAGGTAGTGTTCTATTAGCCTTGGGTGGGCTGGTGGTACCCTCTGGGGACCAGGTTGGGTTCTATACAGAGGCAGATGAGGAAGGGCTGACAGTGATGAAGGGTTCTAATGGGGAGACTCTCTCAGGCAAGAGAGGCAACCAATTGGATGTAGATGGGGAGAGGGTGATGGTAAGAAAGGTGGCATCAAGGACGACTCCTGACTCCCCAGAGCAAGTGGCTAGACAAACGGAAGCTTCCGAATCCGCAGCAAAGGACTCAGGAATTCAGTTAGTGACTAGGCCAGATGCGGCTTCAGCTCCTGTGGAGCAACAAAACCAGAAGCTGAACATGGTGGCCCAGGACTGTGATCCCGCAACTTGGGAACTGTCATGAGTTCCAGGTCAGCTTGAGTCACATAGTGAGGTCTGGGTCAACCTGGGCAAGAGAGTGAGATGCTATCTCAAAAGGCCCCAACAAAACGAAAACCAAATGAGCCAGCAAAATCTCCAAACAACAAAGCTAAAAGAAATAAAGAAAATGTGATAGGGCAGACTTTGTGTGTGTGTGTGTGTGTGTGTGTGTGTGTGTGCGCGTGTGCATGTATGTGTTTGTTCTGAACTTAGAGAACAGATCACATCATCTTATTTATATTTCTAATCATTTCTTCTCTGTAGTTTTTGAGCACCTATTATTTGCAGGCTCTGGCATGGACAAAAGTTTATCCATTAGTCATGTGAGACACACTACTATCATAGCAATGCATTTTCCAGATGTCAACAGTAGGCACCTATGGCAGGTGGGGGCAAGGGAGCTCTCCTAAGCTGTAACAAGGCCCAGCATGGCTAGCAAACTAGGCACAGTTGGGTGTCTCACGGTTTAATTCAGCTGCCTTTCACCATCATTTGAAGCTATTTTATAAGACACAGAGATATTAAGTAAGTTGCCCAAGATTACATAACCAATTAGTATTAGAACCAGTGTCTAATTCGGTTGATCTGAGCTTAGTGTCTGGGTACTCAATATAACACGTCCCTGATTTAGAGCCAGGGACATCACAGGAATCCATTTCGACCTCTTGGGCTATCTACTTTTCCACAATGAAAAGAGCAAGATAAATCTTCTAAGTACTCTACCTGGGCAGTGAACAGCTTCATCTCTTGTGCTGAGTGTGTGTGTGTGTGTGTGTTTGAGAGACAGACAGAGAGACAGAAAGAGACAGAGACAGAGAAAGAGAGAGGATAGAGAAGGGAGAGAGGAGAGAAAGAAGGAAGAGGGGAGAGAGGAGAGAGAGAAGGGAGAGAGAAGAGAGAGAGACAGAGAGAGACAGAGAGGAGAGAGAAGAGAGAGAGAAGAGAGAGAGGAGAGAGAGAGAGACAGAGAGACAGAGTGACAGAGAGACAGAGAGACAGAGAGACAGAGAGGCCATTCAAGCCTTCTTTATAGTCACAGAACCTTAATATGGAGCGTGCTTGGCTCTCAATAGAGAGGCCAGACCAAGGTGAGTCTGCCTGGGTGAGTGGGGGCCCCTCTGCTCCCCAGTATCATTTATATTGAGGGCCTCAGCTCTGCACAACTTACTTCAGCCAATTTATATTTGCTTCCTCATCTTTGTGACATGGAAACTAAAGTCAGCAAAGTTGAATCAGACAAGGAACTGAAGGCAGAGCCAGGCTTCCAGGCTCCCAGTCAACTCCTTTTCAGACTAGCCCCTGCCTCTTGTGGCCTCCGTTCTCGTGCATGAACTACCCTCACTGAGCTGGCTTTCTGAAGAGGCCATTCCCACAATCTAGAGCCCAGGCCCACCTTCCACTCCACCCACCCCATATACAGGACCCAGAGAAGTACATTGGCTAGAGAAGGGGACACTCTGTGCTTACATAGGAAAAGCAATGGCAAAAGCCCACAGGAAGATGTGCCTCACCCCACAGAATTCCAATATACTCTGGGGACCAAAAGAGTTGGCGTTCAGTGTGTTTCTCCTACCGTTCCTTTCTCAAACTTGTTGGTGCGGTTCTCTGACTTGCCAAGGTACCGCTCCCCAGTGTCCCCAAGGTCTCCGTAGATGGTGATGTAGACTTTGGCATCGGTCCCTGCTCCAGGAACATTCCCTGTGAAGATCTGTACCGAGTACAGCACAACTGCCCATCAAGTTGGACAGACAGACAGACAGACAGACAGACAGACAGAAGAGAAGAGTGGAAGCTCATTAGCTCAAGGGAGCAGGGTTGATTGGCATACAAAGATCTGGTCCAGGCCCTGAAGCTGCTGCATTTTCCTTCTGCTGCTTGGCTATGCATGGTCAGCTACACCCTGTGTGGGGGCTTCGGTCAAATGTCACCCATCAGATCTGGACTCAGGAGGATCTCAGAGAACCAAAAGATGGGGCTTTCAGAGTGACCCTTAACCCATTCCCCATTCAAGTTAATCCAAGGAGATTGCCCTAAGTATGTCTTTGCTATGGCCACCAAGTCTCTATGCTGTGATACTGGCAATGCAAGGCCTTGCTATCTAGCTACACCAGTTCTAACTGGACTGAGCATGTGGTAGTAGTTTTCAAATAATCATCATCCTTCCTCATTTTGATTTATTCTTCAGCCCACTGGTACCACTCACATTGCCCTAGTATCCCCAGGGAAACTCCCCCCGACCACCACAGAGACTGAGAACTTCTTTGTTCTCATAGTGGCAGGGAAGGGGCTGAGTATCGGGGTGACTAGTAGACAAAGATCTGAGGAGAATGGAAATGAGTGTGGTCTCGGCTTTGCTCTGCTGCTGTGGCTTAGCAAGGAGGAGTTAGTCAGCTGCCTCCCCAGCCTCTAGCCCTGTGGACAAGCAAATCCTCCGTGTGCATCTACAGATGCTAGGAAGGCTTCTCTGTATCCCTTTGCCCTGGGAAATCCAAGGGAACGGGATGGGAAGGAAGCTTTCAGGGTGGTACTTGGAAGCTGGGAGGGTGGAGGGTTCCTGCAGAACTGTTCTTAGCCACCCAGAGAAATGGCCTAAGTGTTGGCACAGACCCAGAGTGCAATGGCACTGCATGGCAGGGGAACTAGGGTGGCATGGTACCTATCCTGGACTAAAGGCCATTCCTGTGACCCCGGGGACTTACAAGACTTAGAAGCTGGTTCTCTTTCCTACAATGACTAAGAAGAGCTTTGCTTCCAAGCCCTGCAAGTGGTCCCGCAGACACCGCTAACTCAGTGTAACAAATCAATGTGCTGTGGGTAGCTTGTACCCACAGTTAGGAGCGTTTGTTAGTGGGTGTTCACAACCCACTGTGGTTCACTGGATACCACAGCATCATGCTTCTTTCTTGGGTCCCTCATCTTCAACACAGCCCATGGCCACTAAATCCTTTAGCACCACCTTGACCCTTCTGTTCTCATTTGTACAACCTGCCTTTTTCTCCCTTGACCTCCTGAGTCTGTATCTTCAACCCAGGTCCCTGTGATTCAAATTTCCAACTCCTGTCACCTAATGGCTACCTCCACTGGGACTAGAGTGTCACAAACTCACACATCTAAGTGGAACTTGATCCCTTCTGTATCCTTTACCTTCTCCAAACACACCCTGACCCTCCCTGACTTCATAGCTCATTCTCCCTCGTTCTCCAAAGCTCCTTCTTGCTTCATGAGACTTGATGGTTAGATAAGAATCGGGGGCCAATCCATCCTGCTCAGCTCGGCACAGAAGCAGCCAGCATGTCATGGGCCTCAGTAACTGATAATGAAATTGTCTCTTTGTTGCTTAAAAGAGACAGCATCACCCAAGTCTGTCGGGCCAACACCAACATGGGGTAACATTAGCAATCTTGTCACAGCTTAGACACAACAGTTGATGACTGTCCTCTCCCTGCCATTCCCCCCTCCACTCCTGGCAGCCTTCAAGCCTGTTCTGCATGTGAAATTATCACAGGTGGGTGGACCTGTTAGAAACGCCTCTTCTAGGCTCCCTTGTCCCAGACTGAGATGAATGATCTTCTAACACCCCCACTCCACCTCCTGCTGCTTTCTCTGGTCCTTTGGTAATTAAGAAAACCGATTCAGCTCCTTGATGTTGAGCAATACGGGTATGCAGGATCCGGCTATTTCTGGATCCTCCTCCCTCCCGTCCCACCCCGGCCACACAGCTTGTCAGGGAAGAGGTGTTTCCTTAGAAACCTCAGAGTGGGTTCTGTGGAGTACAGTTTATACAGAACATCCCAAGAGTAATGTTGAAAACAGCAGACTGGGGTGTCCATCTGTGGTCCAAATAGAAAAAAAGATACATTTCCCTGAACGAATAACAAAGAAAATTTGAAGAAAGGAATGTGGGTAGAGAGAGAGATGGCTCAGATTAAAGAAAAGCAGTCTGTCACTGTTTTACATAAAGAGGAAAACATGTTCATCCCTTGTCTTTTGACTCTCATGAGCAGAAAGATCTGTGTCCCACCCCCACTGGCTTCATGAGAGAATCTTGAGTTTTATTGGTGCCTTAGTGAGGGTTTCTATTCCTGCACAAACATCATGACCTAGAAGAAAGTTGGGAGAAAAGGGTTTATTCAGCTTACACTTCCACACTGCTGTTCATCACCAAAGGAAGTCAGGACTGGAACTCAAGCAAGTCAGGAAGCAGGAGCTGATGCAGAGGCCATGGTGAGGGGTGCTGCTTACTGGCTTGCTTCCCCTGGCTTGCTCAGCTTGCTTTCTTATAGAACCCAGGACTACCAGCCCAGGGATGGCACCACCCACAGTGGGCCCTTGATCACTAATTGAGAAAATGCCTTAACAGCTGGATCTCATGGAGGCATTTCCTCAACAGAAGCTCCTTTCTCTATGATAACTCCAGCCTGTGTCAAGCTGACACACAAAACCAGCCAGGTTTTTCCAAAACTATAACACCATAAGTTTGGGTTGGTTTTCCAAGTTCTCTGATCTGTGTAGATTGTCTGCCTTGTTGGATAGAACTATGGGTGTTTTTGTGTATCAGTGGAAGAAACTTCTATAGGTTGACATTGATTACCGAATAGTTAGGGCTTACTGGGAACTGACTGGCTGATAAGTGCTATCCATGTAGCAAAGAAAGGACACATGTGTGCACATGTACATGCATGCATCCACAGTGTAGTGAGAGGAGAACGCTAGGGAGTGAAACTTTAATGCCAGCAGGCACAGAAAGGACCTACATCAAGCAGACTATTTAAGGAGATAGGAAGATAATCAGAGGATGATGATGTCACTCAGACCAAAGGCAGGAGGAAACAGAAGAAGTGGGTGATCAGGATGATTCAAGTCCTGTGGAGAAATAACAGCCATGGAGGACAGTGACTAGAGGATGCAGAAACAAAACCCTGCAACCTTGGACAAACCCAGAACCTGGACCTAACCCCCCACAGATAGGCCTTGTCAGGAGATTTCTACCTTGTTTTTCTTCTTAAAAACAAATCCCTTACAGGACAGGGTTTTAACCAGGTGATCATATGTTATGTAAATACTCTCCCACTGTGCTATGCTCCAGCCTAGACTGCCCAGCAAGAACACAAAGGGCCATACCAGACCAACTAGTGGCCAAATGAACTAAGCAGCAGAAAGCCAGGAACAGGGTAATCCAGGCAGTGGGTGACCTGTTGGGGTGTATCACACCGTAGACGTAGAAAGGATTTAAGTACAAAGCTTGCAGCAAAATAGGCCAGAAACTGAAGACTAGCCTGTCATCTTCCAGATGTGTGAACTTGGCAAGTTATGTAATTTTTGTGAGACTCAGTTGTCCAGTGATAGCATAGACCATCTGTCTATGTGAGGAGGTTCAACCTGGCAGGGTTGGGCATTCTGTGAGGAGGTCTGTGGTCCTGGAACTTCCTGTGCAGCAAAGGCCATGCCCTCTGCTCCCACACCCCCTCCCACCTTCCAGCCCCAACACACACACTTACTGTCCAGAGGCTCCTCCACTTCCTTGTAGACCTGTCTTAAGGATCCATCTTTCATGTACTTCTCAGTGAAGATGTCATAAGGGACCAGTTCTCGGATGGTCTTCTTGTCATCCTCAGAGGTGGCAAGCCATCGATCACAGGGGAAAGTCAAGGTTTCTGTACCCTGGGGCGAGAAGAAAGAAGGACAATCAGTCTGTAAGGAGGGACCATTCAGACCAGTGAATCTGCAGTGTGATGAAGCTCATGGGAGCCAAAGACAGAGAAGGTGTTGCCTCCCAGTATGAAGACACAGGGATGCTTTCTAGCTTGATTTCAGAAGATCTAGGCTTAGAGATTCACACAACCACAGGACAGGGAGTTAGTTAGCTTTATGAAGGCTGCACTTCCTGAGTCACATTTAAAAATCAATATCTGGACCCTATCCCTGTACTTGGGGCCAGCAGGTGAAGGGGGGTCTCTGCGTTTTTAAATCCATCTTGTCAGTGACAACTCACTGTCTCCTAACTGTGGAGGTCTATATTTTCCTAGTGTTTTCCAAGTTGTTCAGGTTAAATTTTCCTCTGGAGTTGACCCTGGGCAAGGACATGCTGGTCGCTCACTTGTCCTGTTGCTTTGAGGAAGACACATAGACCGGAGTAGATTGCCTTGACCAGTGGTTCTCAACCTTCCTAATGCTGTGACCCTTTAATACAGCTCCTCATGTTGTGGTGATATCTCAACCATAAAATCATTTCTGTTGCTACTTCATAACTATAATCTTGCAGCTGTTATAAATCATAATGTAAAGATCTGATTGACAGGATATCTGATATGTGACCCCCGTGAGATGGTCGTCCCACCCCAAAGGAGTCACAGGTTGAGAACCACTGGCCAGACTCCTTCTGTGGATCGCTGGAAGATTCTGCATTGGCCCTGGGCTAGTTAACACTCCCTGGATGCTGAAGTAGGCAGCAAGCTGGTATGCTGTGAACTAAATCTGGGAAAAGAAGAAGCACAGGGAAAGACCCATCTCCAACTTACATCTTTGTCAGGGAGGAGCCTGCGGATGTCCACGTGGGAGCAGTGCCACCCGGGGTTTATGCCTGTGTTGTCATGGCCAATCCGAATTTTTTCTATAATCTCACCCACGTCTTCTAACTTCAGAGAGGAAAGAAGGCATCACACATTAGTAGAAAGCCTTTGGCCACCTTGTACCTCCTTAGGGTATCCATATTCAGATCCCTCTGAACTTCTTGATGTTATCTGCTCTCCACCCATCTCTGCTGAGCAGCCAGGCCAAGCCCCTCCTCTGCACATGACATGCTAATGCTTCCTTCCCTCAATCTGGGCATAGCTGGCCCTGATTCAGGCACTCGGGTCTTTCAGGGGTGGCTGACTTTTCACAGAGTCATTATCTTTCCCGTCTTCCATTACTTGATGCCACAGTAGCACATTCTCTGAGGACTCAGTTGGGTCTCAGAAGTGGCGATCTGGTAAAGCCCATGCTCCTGTCTTGCTAGTCAAACTATGTTCAAATCTTCCCATTCTTAAGAGCCTCTCCACTTCTATAATTCTTTTTCTTTACTCCTACAGATTCTATTCCCCTCAAACTTATAGAAAACGGTGTCTTAGTCAGCCAAAATCAGGACCAGGGCTGGGGAAGCCCATTGAGATCATGACTAGGTAAAAAATCACAGTCTCTCTCTCTCTCTCTCTCTCTCTCTCTCTCTCTCTCTCTCTCTCT